TTAGAAATCACTGTCAGGTTTTTAATTCCCCTTGGGGAAATTACCAATTGCAGATGCACATTATCAGCTGGTCTAGGGCTGCAACTAATGATTATTTTCATAATCGATTAGTTGGCTGATTTTTTTTGATTAATCGGCTAAAAAATGCAATAAATAACACCCTTAATTTAAAATAAAATACACACATGCAGTGTTACAAACAAAGTTTATTTCAGAATAAAACTGCATGCACATTTTTTGCAATCGCACTGCACCGGAACACACAGCATTGCAGTACCGTGTGTTCCAGTGCAGGTGATCACACTGCGGGTACAAGGTGCGTTTGGGGTGCTTTTGAAATAAATGTCACTGCAACGCACCTCCTGCAGCAGAATTTGTCAGACCAAAACCGAAAATGACTTTTTTCCCACCTTTTTATAATTTATTTTTTAATAAAGTGTTTTTTTTTTTAAGTGTATTGCAGCCAAGTCACTATTGTTTTGCCCCTCCAAGATATAACTCTCCACCTCCCTAGACATAAACATGTATGCTTGCATGTTCTCAGTGTGTCTCTTTAGGTGAAAGAAAAAAAACTGAATTGGGCATCTGCGGTCTGCTTGAGGCCACTTCTACCTTAAAGTAAATTCAAATTCTTTACTCAGATTACATAAAGAGATGAAGCGTCTGAGCAATGGTTCCTAATTTTGGATTTCTTTCTGGTTACACTGCTGTGTAATGACAAATGTTGGAGATAAATGTTTTCCTCTTATAGTTGTAGTGTAAACTGTACAAAGTCTGTTGTAATTTGAAATTTTTTTTCTTGTTGAAATTGCTCATAATTTGTTCCTCTGACAAATGGTCCTTGTAAAAAGCAATTCTTTCCTGTCAAATCTTCCTTAATTAAATGCAAAAAAGTAGGACCTTTTAAACGCAAAATTTTTCATATTGAACCTCAGTGGCTGAAGTCAAGGCACAAATTAATGCAGCTCCATATTCATTATCAAATAATTTAATTCATTTTTTATATTTACCTAGTGTAAGTACCTGCATTCAACTTAGTGTCTTGAATTCTCTGCACAGCATTATTCCCACTATAGGCCAATTAGATGTGTTCATGCAAATATCTTGACAAGTAACATGCTGATAGGAGGAGTGTGCACAGCTGGATGACTAGATCAGTCTGCTGCTGCTTCTCTTGAACTATCCAATAAGCTGCCTGGGAGTAGAGAGAGATCCCCACTGTAATCTTTATTGTATGCGGTGTCATCTTTCTGGCTGTGCTCTGTCATGGGGCTATGGAAATCCCGGGAATGAATGGACATAAATATAAATGTTGTGGCCGGTAAAACAGCTCACTTATATTTCTTCTGTGTATTTAGCTGTTTGCCTGGATTTCAGCTTTAAATACTTATTGCTGAACTCTAGGCACAGAAACTTTCATTGAAATACATTTCTCGATAGCTACAAGGGATAAAAATCCACCAAATGCTTTTGCAAACCCAACTATTACATTTTAAAAGAAGCCTTGCTAGGGAAGGGTTGCTGTAGGAAAGAGAGGTTTTACTGTAGGAGGGAGATTTTTCTGGTGGGGGAGTTTGCTGAGGGGGTGGGCAGTAAACTTTAGTAATTTATTTACCCCCATTGTGGGCATCCCGGACGTTGCTGAATGTCTACAGACTGTCAAGTAAGTGGAGCTGAGACAAAACAAACAAAATATTGCAATTATTTGTATGTTGTATTATACTGATATATAAATTTCCACTTATGGCCTTCTAGGGCTGCGGAAGAAGCTTAATCACGAAATGCGTTGAGATTTTTTTGATACATGAGCAATCAAATGGAATAGGACCATACCTATCTTTAAGTTTTAAGTACTTTATTTTTTTAACTGTACACTTCTTGGCACCTTTAAAGCACCATTGTTTAGTGTTAGGTTATGTGTCACAGTTTCATGTGTATTGTCTGCATATTGTCACGATTGCCCATTTGTTCACATATTATAACAATTGACAGTTTGTTCCCCCCTGTGGGGGTATAGCTCGAATGGGGGATCACCTTCCCTGGGAAAAACAGTCCAGGCAGCAAAGTTCTTTTTCTCTCTGAACACATCCAACATGTAGCTCTCTCAGAAGGCTGTCTGAGTCCCAGGCCAGAGCAAAACCATGTCTCAGCCTTCCCCTTTTATCTCACCTGGACAAGCATTCATCAAGCAATCAACTATCCAGGTGAGACCCAAAGCCCGAGCTGGACTATCCGGACCCAAAGTCAAAGCGAAACCCTGGTCAGGGTTCCGCTATTCATGCACATAGGATAGAAAGCGAGGGGAAACATACCGCCCCTCAATGATGTCCCCTCTCCTTATGTCACACCCCGTAAAGTCACAATTGCTTACTTGTTCACATATTATCACAATTGCCAGTGTGTTGCCCCCATAGAGCACTAATTGCCCATTTGTTGCCTGCATATTTTCGGGTTTGTGTATTTGTTACCTGAATTGTGTAGCAGTTGACTGATTGTTGTCTGTGCGTTGTATCTAATTGCTCATTTGGGGTCCATGTATGGTCAGGATAACCATTTTGTACCTACGTATTTAAAGTCACAGCTGATTAGAGGATCTATATTATATATATAGATCCTGATATAGGCTGATTTTATTATCCTAATGTTTCGTCATGGTGCACCATGTGCTCCACTATAAAAGCCCTATATTTTATTTTATTTAGCCCGCTGTTATTATGACCATGTTTCACCACCGTGCACTGCTATTAACACCTTGGGTTTTATTTTATTCAGCACACAGATAAGCTCCCCATCCTTCACTGCAGCATGTCACTATTTAACGTTCACATTTTTTTAACCAATATGATTGTATATAAAAATCAGAATTGTCTCCAGTTTTGTTCTGTCCATTATTAGTATTCATTGATTTTCATGATTATTACTGAAAATATTTGAGATGTATACATGCGTGGACCTACTATCTTGCTTGGTGCTTGCTCTGTGCTTTACATCAGTCAAGTGAATTCTGGTTGCTTAGTGTGCACGACCGCACTGTTAAGATCGAGAGAGTTTATTTGTGATGCAGGCCATACAAAACTAAAATAATAGTTTTCTGTTGACTTGACCTTTAACTAAACTGTAGTAGGATGCTGAGAAAACTGTTAAGGCTTTCAATGATACATTGGTTTAATAATAACTCTGTTTTGTAGAGTCTATGTACGTAATGCATAATATTAAGTGCATAAAGCATGTATAGTGGCCTATTAAAAATAACTATACTACAGACGCTTTCACTCAGAGTGTAGGTGAAGCAAATTGCAGAGGCAAGCGAATATGTGCTAGATAGAACATTGATAGGACAGGGACTGAGAATTATTCCCGCTGTTCTGATTCCCAAGAGAGAAGCAAAAGACAGAGCCTGAAACAGACTGTTGCTTTAATCTGACTTAATTAAAGGATAGAATGTAAAGTTGAACAGCTGCACGAATGTTCTTTTTTTGTCATTTATACATATATAAAGGTTGAAATATAATTTTGCCATCAAAAAAAGAAAATCAGAGGCTAAATCAAGAGTAGAAGAAAAGTAATGGTATTTAAAAAAAATGGGAGCACAATTATCCTCCTGGTGTGAAACAGAAATCTATTATAGTTCTTTGTGCCTCAGCTTAATAACATAATAATCTGACGTAGTTAAAAGATATGGAAAGGAGTGGGAGATGGGCCTGATCATCTAGTTCAGTGCAGAGCAGGCCTCCTATGTACAGAGCTTTCTACAATGCTGTCTAGGAGTGGCTTGGTAAAAGACCAAAAGCATGTCTTCTTGAGGAACCCAGTAGCACTAGATCTTGTAGTGCTCTGATATATAGATTTCCACTATTTCCTGCCTCCTATACTTTCTTTTGGCGGTTAAGGCTTGTCCATTAAGGTCATAGCCCAGTAGGAAGGCAAGGGAGGGGACAGACCAGACCTCAAGATTACAGTGAAGTGTGAGAATTTGCATAGGAGAGAACCCTGGGATTTGGTGCTCACAGGTTGATTGAGAAGATGTTCAATCTCTGGGTGCCTACCTTTGATTGCTGTAGCCAGTTACCTTGTTGGCAGCCAAGACAGGTATAGCTTTTATTTCCCCTGCTTGTGCCATGTAACTATATAGTCACAGTTTATCCAAGCTTTGTACAAAATGCTATGCCACTCACCGGTAAACCTTTCACCTCATTCCCCTATCCACAAGTTAATGTAATTAGGAGCAACCATTTAGCTATGATGGAACCCTATCAATGTGAAAATTATGCAAGACATGATCTCCATACAGTTTGCATGTTCTCCCTGTGCTTGCGTGGGTTTCTTTTAGGTTCCCTACCACACTTCAGTGGCATGCTGATAGGTTAGAAGTCTCAATTGGCCCTAGTATGTATGTGAGATAGGGACCTTAGATTGTGCAGTATGATATCCATAAATTGTTGGCGCTATATAAATACCCGTAATAAATTAATAAAAAAAGCAGTATGACTGATAGTATGTAAGTTAACAAGTAATAATCCTGACTTTTTTTCTACTTTAAATTAGATCTAAACCCTAACTGTATGAAATTTACAATGTTACAGCGCTTTATTGACTTTATTTGTTTTATAAAATATTGGCTTCCCTATAGTGACAATGGTGGGCAGTGACTGTGCAATGCGTTTCTTTATGGCTGCTTGTAGTCTCCAGCAGAGGTGCCTGTGACAGGGTGACAACGCATACAAACAGAAGAAAAGCTGGCCGCACTCCAGATTCCACTGGAATCGTTTATTGAAGCTTGTACCACGTCACTGGTGTCCTGCCCAAGGTCCGCCCCACTGACGCATTTCACCCATTTAAGAGTTTAGTTGTATAGATGGAGGCAGACCAGGGTACGCTGCATGTTATACCATAAAGTTCATGGGCATGTCATTACATGGTAACATAATTAAAGGGGACCAGCATTATCAAAAGGGTGCCAACACAGGAACACAATTGGGAAACCGTTGTCACTCCGTAACATGACGTGGTTGAATAAAGGCCTTCATGGCTGGATAGCCAGGTAATATTGAAAGCTGAATATTTTAAAAATATTAAAAACATTACATTACAAACATTACATTGATGTGTTAAAGCTTTAATGAACTTTAATTGATTGGGTTTAGATCTACTTTAATCTTGCATGCATTTCTAGTAGAAGACATTTTAAAATTGCAATGCTGCAAATATACTGCTGAATTTTGAAATATCTAAGCCTTTTAGGTCGAACACACCAAGTGGTCTATTAAAAAGAAAATGCACTTTTCATACAATTTTCAAGTGGAAATATAAGTGAATTCTGGGTAAAAGATGTGTGAATCTTGTGTGAAAAGAATTATAATTAGACCCCTGGGCTGCATCTTAGTTGGCTTACTTACGTTTTCAATTAAATTTATTCAGAGTTCCTGAAAGGAGTGGAAGTTGAAATCATGAAATCAGTACTAATGGACCATGTGGCAAATGACTTCACTCCGCAATTAGTGCATTATGAAACAAGAAAGAAACTAAACTGAAAAGAAAATCTTCTTTATAATAGGTAAAGACAGACCTGGAGATAATGAGCAGAGGAGATGCATGACTGGGGAGGAATAGTCCCTGGAGAAGGGGTTAAATAGTGTGGATTAGTTGGTCCTAGCTGATTGGAGGTTGGTGTCGGGCGGGGAGAAGCCGCATGGGTTGGGACTGCAAGGGCTGATGTGTGTTCTTTCTGGAAAGTCGACGGAGGAAGCAGGTTGTCCCGCTCGCCCTACCCTAATTTTTGCGGTTGATGGCTGTTAAAATGTCCTTTTATGTCACGGCAGCTTGGCGGGTTAGGGGGTCTTTGGGGGTCTGAAAATGTGAGTCAGTTACAAAATGGGGGGCTATCAGCTGGTATGGTGCTTGGTGTCGGCATTTGTCGGGGGGCATGGCGCCTTCGAACTTGGGAGCAGTAAATGTCCTCGAGCTGGTTGGGGTGTGGCTAGGGACATGGGAGAAGTTTTAGTAGAGGCCTTATTTGAGCTGATGGGCACCCAAAGACCGCTTCTCAGATCCAACAGTCATTCAGATGATTTATTTGTGTGTTGTTTTTTTATTATTACTTTTAGTAACTGTTATTGTTGTTTTGGTTAAGAAAGGGCTGCTGTGGCCATTTAAATCCATGTCGTGCAGCCTGTGTGTTTATTGGGGGGGGGGGGGGTTGGTAGGGTGCTTCCCCCGTTGGTGGCAATATTTGTTGGGGGCCTGGCCCCTTGGAACTTGGGAGCAGTAATTGTCCTCAAGCTGGTTGGGGTGAGTTATAGTGGTTATAGTAGAGGCCTTATTTGGGTTGATGTGCAACACCAAAGACCCCTTCTTGGATTCAACATTCGTTCAGATTATTTATTTGTATTTTATTTTTGATTATTACTTTTGGTAACTGTTAACTGTTTTGGTTATTAAGGGGCTGCATTTAAATCCATGTTGCGCAGTCCGTGTGTTTATTGGGGGGGGGTTTAACAGAGGGATGTAATTGAAGAATCCATCAGTCATCATGTCTTTGAGATGCTTTTCATATATCACTTTTCGCTACAGTGAGCTTTCCCAGCAAATCTTGTACATTGTGAAATGCTGTCAGACTAAACATATGCTGTGTGCTACTTGTATTCATGGTTGGGTTTGTTTTTGTGAACTTTTTGTGTTGTCCCGAGTTTTAGCAAATATTATTGTGGTAGAAATGTTGTTTATATGAAGTTTATTTATTTGTTTTTGTTGCTATTTTAGGTTTATTGCAAAACCATGTGCTTTGGCTCTGAAAATACAAGCCAATGGACCACAAAAGGCCCAGCACAACGCCATACTGGAAAAAGTCTTCACTGCAATTACAAAGGTACCGTGCCACAAAAAAACCCACTATATTAACCTTTGATCAACAATTAAAAGTAAGATCCACATTTAAAAAAAAAATAAAAATAAATGCACACACATTTATAAAACAAAAAAAATGCATAATTTTTTTTTTTTTTTGCATTTTACCCAGAAAAGCATTGCAAAAGTGATCAGTGGTGCAATGCTCTGGCTCCTGCATGTTCTCCCTTTCGTCTATGTCCATACCAAGGTATGGACATTCGGTAACATGGACAGGAGGAAGAATGAATGGACTACACTGGCAGTGACGTGTGGGCACAGCCACGCACAACTGCGTCATTTTCAAAAATCAACAGCAGCCTGCGAGGAGAAGAGCCTCACGATTTAGGTAAGTGTGTTTGGGGGAGTGGGCGTCCGTAGGGTGGGGTGGGGGTGGGTGGCTAAGTAACCATGTTTTATGTTACACCCTGAATTTGGCTGTAACATGAAACATGGCCTGAAAGATAACCTTAACCTTTAAAGCAGGGCTACCATCAACAGAAGTTCCCCTGACCATGTCCACTTCTTCCTCACCCACCAAATGGCTGGCACTACATTTGCTCATGCAACATGAAGGGTCGTACACAACCATGCAAATACTAATGCCTTCCCAGGCGCCTTTGTAATATTGGTTGTGTTCACATATGTATCATACAACTCAGATTGCCCATTTGGGTCTTTCCATGTGTGACCAGCCAGTGTAGAAACCCATCCCACTCACACAGCTTTGCCCCCTTGCTACATTTCAGCTCTTGCCTTGCTAAGGACTTAAGAACAGTTGTTTTGTAGGTAGTGTATGTTGCTGTTGTATATGCGAGAAATGTATTTGTGCAGATTTGGGAAGGTACTGGTAGGTCTGTGTTACATGTATAAGAGTTGTATACTGTTTTCATAAGCAGTATAATGTACCACCTGCAGTCCATTGGCCTTTCAAAGAGTAATCTAAAAAGTTCCATAACCCTTCTCACCAAATCAGAATGAATCTCATTAGATGGCTTTGAACTGATGAAGGGTCTGATGCCTTACTATAGGATACTGTACTTTGTGTGTTGTAATTGCTTTATGCATGGGCTTACTGATGTTTCAGGTGTTGCAGTCCAGCAGCATTTTATTTTTGAAGAAAAATACTATTTCTAATACGAGAGTCCCTAATGTTTCTAAGCAAAAGGCTAGTTCACTGTTCCTCAGATCTTAATGGGACTAGACTGCAGCCAGTGGAAGTAGAAAATACCTGGACATCATTGGTCACTGGAAGTAAATAAAATGCTCCAGGTATGGTGGTCAGTGGAAGGGAAAATTGCCCCAGAGTTGGTGAGCAGAGGTGGTAATAAATGGCCCAGTGCCTGTGGTGAATAGGAGGAATAGTGCACCATTGCTGGTGTCAGTAACAGGAATAGTGCCCATTGTTAGTGTCTGTGGAAAAAATAGTGCCCCATCATTGGTATAATGAGAGGTATATTGCCCCATTGTTAATGTCAATAGGAGAAATAGTGCCCCACAGTTATTGTAAATAGGGGAAATAGTGTCACATCATTGGAGTCACTGGGAGTAACTGTGCCATTGGGGACCCAGCTTCTTGGTGGGGCAGGACAGTCGGAGGTGCTGAGTGGAGAGCCACACCCTGTCCCCACTCTTGTACCGGCGATCGGCCTGCACCTTTTGTCATTGTTGGGCGTCTCGGAGCTGCTGCGTGAGGGTACACCGCAGCTCCCGGAGGTGCCGGAGCCGCTGGGCTACCTCTGGCACTGGAGCATCGACAGGCACGTCCGGAAGGGTCAGGGGATGATAGCCGTAGTTGGCGTAGAACGGGGAGAGGCCCGTGGATGAGTGTTGCTGGTTATTGTAGGTGAACTCAGCCAAGGGAAGATGGCTCATCCAATCGTCCTGTAGATAGGAGGTATAGCATCGGAGATACTGTTCTAGTGTCTGGTTGGTCCTCTCGGTTTGCCCGTTGGTCTGTGGTGGTACGCGGAGGACAGGCTGCGGGTGATGTGGAGACCCCGACAGAAGTGGGTCCAGAAGCGGGACGTAAACTGGGAGCCCCTGTCCGAGACTGTGGTGACCGGGAGCCTGTGTAGCCGGAACACGTGCTGCAGAAAGAGGCAGGAGGTCCGCTGAGCTGTAGGGAGGCCAGAAGTGGGGATAAAGTGGGCCATTTTTGTACACCGGTCCACCACTACCATGATGGTGGTGCAGGTCTGTGAGGGGGGTAGGTGCACAATGAAATCCATCGCAATGTCTCTCCAGGGTGCCGAAGGTACCGGCAAGGGTTGCAATAAGCCGGCAGGTTCGGTGGTCGGTTGTTTGTGGAGCGCACAGACGGAACAGGACTCCACGTAGGAGTGCACGTCCGCCGCTAAAGTAGGCCACCAGAATTGGCGTAGGATGTACTCCTTGGTGTTGCGTTGGCCCCTGTGACCGGCTGTGGGATGGTCATGGTAATGCTGTAAAACTGGTACACGCTGGGATGCAGGAACATAGATCCGCTGCTGGTGATAGCGTAGCCCCTGTTTCAACGGCAGGTGGGCGGCCTCCTCCGGGACCAGCGTACTGGCCCTCTGGATTTCCTTGATTAGGGAGTGCTGGGTGGTCATGAAGTACGCTGCTGGCAGGATGGCCTCTGGAGGCGCAGGTCCGGTCTCAGAGGCATGCATACGGGACAGGGCGTCGGCCTTGCCGTTCTTGGATCCGGGGCGGTAGGTTATCTGTAGAAGGAAGCGAGTGAAGAAGAGGGCCCACCGGGCTTGCCGGGGTCTCAGGCGCTTAGCGCTGCGGAGATATTCGAGGTTACGGTGGTCCGTGTAGACCACCACGGGGTTCTCCGCTCCCTCCAACAAATGCCTCCATTCCTCCAAGGCAGTCTTGATGGCGAGCAGCTCCCTCTCGCCCACGTCGTAGTTGCGCTCAGCCTGGGTGAGTTTGCGGGAGTAGAAGGCAACCGGGTGCAACAGCTGTCTCTCCCCTTGGTGCTGAGAGAGAACGGCTCCAACCGCCCCTTCGGAGGCGTCGGTCTCCAGGTAGAACGGAAGAGCGATGTTCGGCTGTGCCAGGACAGGGCCTTGGGTGAACAAGTGCTTGAGGCGCTGGAACGCCTGATGGGCCTCAGGGGTCCATGTGAATGACGTGCCGCTCTTGGTTAATGCTGTGATGGGGGCACAGATGGATGAAAAGCCACGGATGAACCGCCTGTAAAAGTTGGCGAAGCCAATAAATTGTTGGACCATCCGTCGGTTGTGGGGGACGGGCCACTCCAAGACGGCCTGAATTTTCTTAGGGTCAATCTCCACGCGTCCTGGGCATAGGATGTAGCCCAGGAACTCGATGGACGTGGCATCGAAGGTGCTCTTCTCAAGCTTCCCGTACAACTGGTGGGTCCGGAGATGGTGGAGCACCGCTTTGATGTGCTTCTCATGCTGCATCAGTGTCTGGGAGAAGACGAGTATGTTGTCAAGGTACACAACGACGTGGGTATCTAGGAGGTCCCGGAAGACATCGTTCACAAAACACTGGAAGGTAGCAGGGGCATTACAGAGCCCGAAGGGCATCACGAGATACTCAAAGTGCCCAAACCGTGAGCGAAAGGCCGTCTTCGGAAGCGGAAGGGGATCCAGTCGTCGTGCCGGTGGGGGTGGTGCCGACTGCCTCTCCTGTCGCCTCTCGCGGAAGCGTCGGTCCAGGTGAGTCACCGAGTCCATCAGGGCCTCCAAGGTACATGGTACACCGATCTTTCAGGTGCTCCGACAACCCGATCCGGAATTGGTCCACCAGTGCCACATCATTGAGACCAGTATCTGGAGCGGTCTCCCGGAACTCAGCGATATAGTCCTCCACCGGTCGTCTGCCTAGGCGGAGGGTACGCAAGGTGCCTCTGGCGGTCGAGGCACGTAGCGGGTCATCGTAGAGCCGCTGCATGGCGGCGACAAAGGACTCCCAGGTTGTAAGCACCGGGTCGTTGGCCTGCAGCAACTGATGTGCCCACATCTGGGGAGGTCCTGAAAGCAGAGAAATAGATGTGCGTACCTTGATGTAATCGGTGGGGTACGTGCGGGGTTTCAGGACGAAGAAGAGTTCACAGGAGATGATGAAGGAGCGGTACTTCTTCCGATCGCCAGAAAACCGCTCTGGGAGGCCCACCGTCGGCTCACTGGTAACCAGTTCTACGGTGTGTGCCGGAGTGGGAGTAGGTGAGGGCGGCAGCGCGGTGGCTTCCGCGTTGCGTCGCTCCTGTGCGACCACCCTCTGGAACAGATGCTCGTGGCTGGCTTGCATCTCCTGGAATGCCCGTGTCATCAGGCTCAGCTGTTCGCCGAGGGTCGTGATAGCCTCAGCCGCTCCTGCGGGTTCCATGGTAATGGCTGAGTCAGGCATCAGGTGCGTCCGCGGGCGAGCAGCACAGAGGGAACCCGCTGGCAGGAAGCAGCCGGAAGGGTCCGAAGGCAAGGTAACCAGGGGGCAATCCAAAGAGGTAGTCGAGGGTAATCCTAAGTCGAGGCAGGCAGCAGAGGGTCAGAAACGATAGGCGGTCCAAGGTTGGTACACGGGAGGTCAGCAGAGGGTTCAGGAAACAGGCAACAAGGCACATAGGAGGGGAGCTTCGTATGTCACACCATGAGGTGGAATAACTCAGCAATAAGCCAGAGCTCAGGCCAGGTTTTTATAGCTAGGGGAGTTAGGACCACCCCCCGGTCACCGAGGCAACCAGGAGGCTTCCTTCCTCGGGAACCAATGGCAGGCGAGAGAGATGGAAGGTGTGTACAGGGAACCTCCCCCAGCAAGGCTCACACCTGATGCCTAATGGAGTAGGAGTGCTACACTGCGTACCAAGCATGCGCAACCGCCGTGCGACTCGAGCATGCGTACCCGCAACCCGGGCACCAGGAGTTCTGCCAAGCTGAGGGGAAACCCGTGCCCTGCACCGTGCCCCCCGAGCAGGGGCAACACCCCCTGCTTCCTGACACATGAGGACTAGTTGAAGGCAAGCAAGAGCCACAATCAGGCTGTGGGCTGCAGTTTGGTACCACTGGTCTAATGACTATGGTCTCTTTTTTCAGGTTGAATTGAGTCTCCATGATAAAGATACAATGTGTGATCATGAACCTTTTATATATTCTTTTCTTTGAAGCTTCATGCTTTTTAGGCACTGAGATGATTATCTAATATATCAGTAAATTATAATGCATTTTGAACATCAGTATTGATCTATGTACTGCCTTAGTTAATAAGGCTGAAATGAACTTAGATGGTCCTTGCGTGATACTTGCCATTTTCTCAGGTTTGATTAAAAAGTGTGTTGCCTAATAAGCTCTACACGGCTCAGTAGGCACCCTTGGGCCATCACTATAAGGAAAAGAAAAAGCCATCAGTTAGATCAGAAACTCACAGGGTTATTCACAAAAGGGTGAGAAGTATGGAGAATGCAGGAGAAGGGAACAATCTAGGACAACATAGCTGAACTGGAAAGTGAGCTGAATTGGAGAATTTTTCCAAATCAGCTATTTTGGCCTAGACTGTTCACTTCTCCTGCCTTCTCCAAACTCTTCACCCTTTTGTGAATAACCCTGTTACAGCTGATAGACACTTGATTTAAATATATTGTCTTTTATTACAGCATCCAGATGAAAAGAGATTGGAAGGTCTTTCAAAGCAGCTGGACTGGGATGTGCGCAGTATTCAACGATGGTTCAGGCAGAGAAGAAATCAAGAGAAGCCAAGTACATTAACACGTTTCTGTGAAAGCATGTGAGTAGATGTTTTTCAATTGTAGTTTTAAGTGTTTTTCCCCTTCCGCAAGAAAATTATTCTCCCTGAACCAAGACACAAACTGTCAGGCATTTCCTAATTCAAGTGCTCCAAATTGTTTGATCAGACATTTGGTTGTGGTGTTCCAAGTGGAGAGACTTCAAAGGAATATGTGTTCCAGTTTTATGTGGAAACTGGACAGCCAACTCTAAACTAATAAAGGATCAATTCTGGTTGGCTGCCAAAGATTACTGCTGACCATTGCTCTTTGTACTGTCTTACACAGGCCCAATGAGTGTATCTTTATGGATTTCTGGAAACATTACTACATTTTATGGTAACATAAGTCTAGTAATAAGTTAATGGAAGAGCTTCCGGCAACTGTGAAAAGTTTTTAGTCTAGTCCATCTATGCTGTATATTCTCTCGACAACTGGTATTATTATTTTGTACAATGTGTGGAATTATTTTTGCTTGTTAGTGTGGCTCTTTTGTGTTCCCAGTCAGTCATTTGGGCTCCTTCCAGATGGAAATCTCTAGGAGATGTCCAGCCTTCAGCAGGAGTCCACAGACGGTTTCTGCCTCCCTCCCAGCCTTGACTTATTGGTGACAGCTGATGTGCATGGAGGTAGCAGGTTGAGAGGCAATCATGATCTGTAATCAAACGATAGTCAAGGCGGACATGGTTTAGACAGAATTGTAATAGAATGGCAATAATTATTACAGAACAGGGTACTGAACTGCTACAAAGAGCTAGAAGAAACCCTTTTGCTTGGATATTCTTTGCTGTTTGGTGACATCAGGGGAACAGATAAGCGCGCCATGGTTGCATTTTCTGTTTTGGCTATTGGATGGCAAAGAGGATGTGAGATAGTGTAGGTGTTTAGACAGCATAGCTGGTCATGGAGAGTTCAGATGTGTGCCAATAGGCAGAGCTGAGATTAGAGATATCATTGCATCACAGAAACTCTGGTCTTCAGGATAATGAAGTCATATTATAAACACTGATGGAGCCAATTGCTGGCTAAAGACGAATTTACACATACATAGAGGCCGCTACACTTTGTTGATACAGTTTTTATAATATTTTTACTAAACGCATTTTCAAAATTACATGCCAATAAAAATGATTGCCCATGGATATTTGGGGATCCCAATTTTATGAGACCCTTTGGAAATTATTTTGGAAATATCTGTATTGTAAGTCTGACAACCCATACCCAAGGTTTGTACCAGGGTTATATTTTTTTTTCATTTTTGATAGATGGGGAAAATTGGGTTATTGCTCATTGATGGAAATTCAATTTAGGAAACTTATAGAAAACCTCTGTGTTTTCTGATATTTTTTAAATCTTTTAGTTAAAGATTAATATTTAAGTAAAAAGTTAATAGTAAGTAAAAGTTAAATAAGATAAGATCAGTTAAAAATGTATTTAATAAGAAATGAAAGAACGTTTTTTTTTCTGAGGTGGGAGATGTAGAGGAATAAATAGAGGATTGGTTAATGAAGGTTTGTAAAACATTCTATGGGAAGGAAACCCAAAGAAGTATATTTGATCAACAGAGCTTTCATTTTTCATGTGAGATATTGGAAATTGAAGGGCGAGGGCAAGTCTCATTACTTGAAATGTGGTGCTCTTTTTCCAATTCTAAATCATATGTTATATTGCTGTGGAAAGGTTAAGAGGCTATGGAATAGAATTGCAAAATGGATAAGTGGGGAGACATATAAACTTGGCATCTAGAACAATTTTATTTTTATCAAGCTCCAGAAATTGTAACTTGTCAATATTAATAATATTGATAAAAATAAAATAATTGTTCAGAAAAGATAATGGATGGTGGGAAGGTTACCTCAAATAAGTAACATTTTGAAACAGAACTTACATTTTTGTAAGGGGACCTTTATGGGTCTCTGGGAACTAGACCTCGGCGAAAAAGAGTTCATTTGAAAGTCCTTCAGCAAAATATAGAGATACATTTCCAGTAGTTAGACAGGTTTCCAGGTCACAACAAGTTCAAACGAATCACATACTAGCACAGGAACAAGGGGAGACTGACGATAATCCAGCAATTTGGTAGTGACCAGACTGGGCTTATATAGGGAAGTGATGATTGAAATATAGGTCACTTCCTGGCCGTTTTCCCGCCCTGCTGTACCAGGTCTTCTGTGCATGCGCGGGTTGGCGCAATGACGTGTCGTTCCGTTTCGTGCGGCAATGTGCCGTTTGGCGCATGCGCAGTTAGCACTGGACTCTTACACTGATTCTCCTGCTCCTCGGCCGCTACAGCTACAGAACGGCTGAGGGGGGAGAACTGTATGAGTGATCACTGCTGCAGCGGCCTTTTTTAAGTGGTTTCCCCCTTGGATCCGCCACTGCTCCTGCTGGCGGCGCCCCCCCCATGATGCCGCGTCGGGGCACATGCCCCCCGTCCCCCTAGGTTTGGCACTGGTTACACCCTTGTATAGAAATGAAATATTATAAAAGTTAACTCATATTTTAAATCACATACCTTAAATGAAAACTAATTACTTCTGTCTCAGCTTGGGCCAGGCCCAGTTTTAATTTAATTAAATGATAAAAGTTGCTGCATATGGCTGCCAATGCACAGAAGCATTCATTCAGACATAATGTGAAGTTAGTAATTGGTTCTGCGCATCAGATAGGACCATATTATTAAAAGCAGATGGCATGTCCAGTTTTATAGCATATTTGGTGTGATGGAGTACATTGTTAATTAAATAACATGACACACCATTGATATAATGTCCTTATTTATTAGGCTGTACTGCCAGCTCAGATGGTGCGGTTGGAGTACTGCTAACTGGAGCCTTTAAAGTTTCCAGCAATTTGCTCTAAATATTCATAACATTATTGCAGACTTCAGTCATTAAAGGCAGTCATTTAAGAGGCGTTAGCAGACATGCAGTAATCTTTCCATCATGATTATCATATGATTAGAAATATATTTTTGTAAATGGCAATTTACAAATTGATCCATAGGACCTGTCAATTATAGCCTCCTGCTCCCCCACCCCCACCCCCTTCAAGAAAGTTTTTCTTTTAAATTGAGAATTGAGGGATTCTAAGCATACTTACTCTTTAAGGGACAGGCTAAGGATTCCAGCCTCATTCTGAGCTGCTGTTAAATTTACCCATGCAGTAGGATTCCCCCTTCCCCTATGGGTTAAATGTTCATTTTGGCTAGGGGGAAATGGAATAAATCAAAATACGTACCATATTCATCAGTCCTGCAGGCTTCCTCCTGTTTGTTTGACAGCTCTCCTGAAGAAGCTGCACTCTGCTTCCTAGCCAGTCACAGCTCTCTGACGCCATCATGTACAATGAAGGACTAGCAGTCCAGCATTATATGTGAGGATGGCAAAGGGCCCACCAACATCTTGGGAATTTCCAGATGGCAGTGTAGAGCAGTGGCTGCCGGGAGTGCAATGAATATAGTAAGTATTGGTACTTATTCCTTTCCCCTATAGCAAACTACCATTTACTCATGCATTGACGAGGACCACCCCACTGCATGGGTAAATTTAACAGCAACCTGAAGTCGGGTTGTAAGTGTTTAATGTACCGGAAGGTGGGGAGGTGAGTTTGTTCTGTTAGGGGAGGATGAAATGTTTTTTTTGGGGGGGGAGTATAGCGCATACTTTATTAGTTAGTAAAAAATGAGGGCAGCTATAGTAATAATGCTAGTTCTCAATGTGGGAACCCTGGTGCTGATAAATGTGTGCATTTGATTTAAAAAAGGCGGGCACATATTCCTTTCTGTATGCTTACTTAATACATGGTATGAATTTGAAAATCAAGATTTTATGTAAATGAAGGGCTGCTATTGAAGTGAATGGATGTATGATTAGTAGAGCCATGGTACAGTCACTTCAGTTCATATTATCATCAGTAAGCCAGCAAAGATCTGAGAAATTGAAGATAAGTGTCTTTACATCAGGACTGGATAAACCCCATTGACTTTCAATGGAACCTGCATTGCACAGCTAAATAGTGTCAAATGTCTCTTCAAGCAGAGACGGAGGCTGTTCAAATGAAAATGGGTCTTTAACGAAAGCACAAATTAAAGTTTTCACTAAAAAAGCAAATTGCTATTTTTTGTGTGGTGTGGCCCTGCCAGTTGATTAGAACAACAATGAACGTTGCTTTTATATTACTATAGAAATCTACAGTTTTGCTCAGCAGCATAGTCAATTTAATAGCAAGGTTACATAGACAGTAAGCTAAGACCTACTAGGCAAGTGTGTGGGGGAATTTTGATTATTTAAATGAAACACAAATCATCTGCCATCCACATATGTTACAAAAAAAGGGTAAAATAATCAAAAAACTTAAAGCAGGAAACAAAAGGGTATAATAATAATAATGTCTTTATAAATATTTTCATGTTTTCTCTGTCTTTAAGTTGCATGATGATATAACTAGCTGAGCTTGTATATTTGTAGTCAAGCCCACCCTTTTCTGTTATTATTATTATTATTATTATTATTATTAATAATCATTTAATTTGTTATTGTACTTCTTAATAAATGTGTGTAATATTTTTTCACAGGTGGAAATTTACATTCAACCTTTATATCTTTACATATGGGATCAGATATCTGAAAAAGGTAGGTACATTTTTATAGCTTTGGTTAATATGCATTGAGGTTTATTTGGTGCAATATAGCAAGCATTCCTAATTTTTCTTTCAGGGCTTACTTAGAAATACTATGCTAATGTTTAGAATCGACTTCCGTAAGAGCAGCCAATCAAATCTGAATACTTTAATCGACTAAACTCAGATAACACACATTGAGGGGTCGAGTAAAATATTAGAATGAAAGCAACCCACACCACTCGAATTATGTAGAGTCTAATACCAAATATAGTCTTAGGGTCTTCTGCCTTTCCTGTCGTAGGGTCAGGGCTGTCTGGGGCAAAATTTGGGTGTACAAAGCAAACCAGCATCTTGGCTCCGAGACTTCCAGCCTCAGTCTGCATGAATCTCCTAGAGATTCATGATAGTATCTGGAGCCTAATATCCCAGGAGGAATCCTTGCTCCAGTTCCCACGCTCTCAGTCTTCATTACTTTATTATTTTATTAGGAATCATTGTTGTTTCAATTATGTTTGAAGCTTGGTTATACATAAAGTTAATGTTTTTGTGAAATAATTAATCATTGTGGTCATGGGAACCAGAATCTCCCCAAATCTCGAGCTCAAGTAACTATTATGGTTCTCTATGGGATTTATGCTTTCTGTGCCTATAAGCTACTAAATGAAGATGTGAAAGAGGAGACTCAAAATGGTGCAGGGAAGACTGAAGGCTGCCGTGAATTACATTGTAACTTTTTACAATGAAGTGGTGAATAGGGAATGGGAATCAGTTTTTTTCCCCAGAATAATTTTAATAATAACAATAATAATACATTTATTTAAAAATGTTATTAATTTAACTCTTTTGAACCATTCCCCTAGATAATCAAGGCAGTTGGTAGCAGGATCATCTTTTTTTTAAACTCTGCTTTTTGTGAGCAGTTTCACAGTGTTAGCTTGACAGCTCCGGGCAACGCCACAGACAGGGCCGTCCTTATAATGAGGCATCTCTTTGGGTCACGTGGAGAGCAGCATATCCACTCAGCTGCACAATGTTTGAAGTGGGCCTGTCACCCCCTTTCCAGCCAAAGCGTCCCAAATTGCTGAGAGCCAGGTGGGGAGATGTGTAAGGGTCAGGGTCATACACATCTCCCTGCCCCGCTCTTAGCAACTTGGGATGCTCTGGCCAGCGTCCTGCTCAGCTCAGAGAGTCCCACTCAGCTTCTGGCAACCAGTGATGTCACTAGTTGCCAGGAGCTGAGCGGGACTCTCTGACCAGCATCATGCCCCCCTGGTTAGTGTGCACCACCAGCATCCGCTTCAACCGCCTTGTTGCCCCCGGGCTAGGGTCGGCCCCTGGCCATAGAGCCTAATAAGCCTGGTTAGCTTGGCTCACATTCTTGCCCCTAATTCTGTCGGTGACCTGCTTTGCGGGTGATTGCAAGAAGCTCATGTAAGACTTAATCCAGGTACTTTCACTACCTGTATTTAAAAATACATTTAATGATTTTAAGAAATACACGTTTGGGTTAAATATAGATTTTTGTAAACCGCATTATTTATTGCATTTATTTAATATAAAGCTGTTTTTTGTTGCTGTATATTTGAGTTGTAGAGGTTAGAATAAAATAGGACTGCAATGCTGGAAAGATAAAATTGAAGTCAGCTGTTGCATTTTATTATTCTTTCTTGATACAAAGTTGCCTAGCAACTATTCCACTTCTTACATTTTGAAAAGGTCTAAAATAATATATAAAAATACTCTATAAAATACCCGCATTTAACTATTTTCTCCTGATTAGCTGAACATCATAGCAACTTCACTCTTGTTTATGCAGAAAGACCGTATTCCTGAGAGCTTTATCTCAAATATTTAGCTCTTATTTGTGTTTATGAAGTTATCTCTTTAGAGCTAGATTGCCCAAAACTGATACTTCAATAGTAGGGAAACGATGGAGAGTTAAATCACTTAACGATTATTCACATCTCCATGAGTTTCTGCTGGCCAAATTTTTTTTATCTGAAATCCCAGGCATGCATGCTTGCTTTCACTGGATTCAGACAATCCTACTCTGTGTGTTGGACGTTCACTTTATTTTATATAATAGCAAATGCAAGAGGGGAAGTGAGACTACCTCATAACTGAGCTCTAGGAAAACTCCTAAATGCACAGATGGAATACGTATACGTATATATATATACTGTTAGCTGTTTTACCTGCTAAAGGATTTGTGTTTCTGCCCATCCAGCCCTGAGATTTACACAGTTCTGCCACACAACTCAGCCCAGTCTAGCAGGGGAGGGGGCCTGATCTTTCTCTGCTGCAGTTTCACTTTCACTTATAGGTCACCTTCCATTCCAACCCTTACTCCTCTTTTTGTAATTGGACAGTGGAAGGAGAATCAGCATGCTGATAAGCTCATCACTCTGCTCTCTCCCACTTGTCAGCATTCTCTTTGCACTACATCATGCCTGATTAACTCCTTGTGCTGCTTCTCCCTTCCCTTTATGATCTCTGCTGTACAGACTGTACAATAGACGTTAAGAGGGTGATACCAAATGTAGATTGAATTATGTATTAATGAATATTAAGGTAATGTATCCAACATTACTTTTCCTTAAGGCTGGGTTCACACCTGGGCGTACCATAGGCGTGTTTTTTCTGTTCGTTTTTCAGCACGTTTTTTTTTGTTCAGTGAAACGATAATTCGACGCTCGTTTTTATACCTCCCTGGCGGTATGATTATTTTTTTTTTCCTTTATTTTCTCTATCTTTTTTTTTTTTTTT